AATTAGCAGCGTCCAGGTACCTGTCCAAGTATTCTGCACAGTAATTCTTGAGTTTTGTGACCTGCAACATTGAACAAGTAAAGGAAATAACAAACTAATAAATATGATGCTATTTATCTAGAATATACCAAAAAATTGTTTGCCAGTCGGAGAAGCTCTGCCACAGTGGTTCGATCAATCACTACACATCCACTATACATGTAGTTTAACAACAACTCGAAAGCTTTCGGCTGCTGACAATTCACAATCACCTACAATCATATGGTGGCAATCGCAACAATGAATGAATTAGGAAATCTGCGCTGATACCTGTTCTTTTGTAACCTTAGTTGATCGTAAAATTGAATCAAAATACGGGCTACATGAAGCAAGAATGTTGCGGTGAGCGGAAAACTGTCGATCTTTGACAACGATACAGACGTCACAAAAGCGACCAGTCTCCTCTTTGGTACCTCATTCGCTCCAGAACTGAAGAGATATAGAATTTACATGAGAGCTTTTCTACCCTATCAACTAACCAACAACACAATATTAATTTTTTTTTCAAGTTGTTTCATAGCAATATACCGTTACGCTGCTCCGAATTATATGGTGCGAGAATCGCAACCTATGCCCTAGCTGCCCTACCAACAAATAAATTCATGGTGCGCAACATCTCCACGATATAATCTCGTATCAGAGCAATAGTGCCACGGTCGCAAATTAAAGCAAAGAAAAAACAAGCTATTATACTTTCCAGAACCTGCTTTGTGATTCGCTGGAGCAGAAAGAGATCCTACCGCTTTTCGCGGGGCAAAACTTTTTTTCAAAAGCAAGGTTTCTCACTGTAAAAGGCGGAGAAGCCGCTTTATGCCAAAGCGAACCACTCTCTAGAGCCTGCTCCCAATTAAGATATTCCACTACTACAATGAAGTGGACGTTTGGAAACAAAAACAACTTCTATATTCAATCAAATTATTATGCATAATTCAATGGAATCAGATTAATTGAACGATCGTGCTTAATATAACAAACCTAAAAGATCCTTCATAATTCACAACAGGCATCTTTACCTTAATGGTAAAGATGAATTTTTTCGGCACTCATATTTCTGTTCAAACATTTCAATATAGAGTTTCACAGAATGGCCTAGTCTGCGTTCCGCACGTGCCCTTAGACGGAGACTATACAATTGGAATGTCGTTAATCCTTGCCCATCAGTAAGGGAAGTAAGGACCAGTCAATTTTCAATGTACAAATAAGAGTATTCAAGGTGATCATTAGCTCATTAGTTTATGCTAGCTTTCACTTTCAAAGAAACTGTAAC